TGTCCAGACTCTTTCCTCCTCCTCTTCATTTGGCACTGGCTGACTGTCAATGTTGTCATTGCAGCTAGCAGGATTTTGTGTTGCACTGGTATCTATTTTTTTTTTAATAATAAGCGTGTTAACTTAAAACCGTCCTTTATCCATTTCATTTTTATTTTCGATTCAAATTCCTGTGTTTCTGTCCTGATTTAATTAGATTATTTCCCATTTGATCTCTGACATTACATGCATGGACGGATCCATCTGAAGGGGTGGGAAGGAGGGGTCATAACGGTTGGTATCACTTGCCTGTCCAAGCCAGACTAAGTAATGTATTTATTTTTTTGGCCAAAAAATGAGTAACAGTCTGAGTCTAAAAATACTAAAACAAAATTAATATATTCTTTTTATTGCAGAAAGAAAAAGTGAAGTCAATGTGCTCCTGATTCCATGTCATATTCAGGTATATGAACAAGCTCCATTCAAGGTCCATTCAAGGTTGTTTTTTGTGTGTTGAGTGTATTAATGTAATGAATTGGTGTCGTGCTGGGAGGGATTGAATTGCAGTAACTCTCTAGAGAGGACAGTGAAGGTAAATAAAATGAGAATTGCTATATGACACTGAAACATGGGTTTATGGAAAGTATTTTCTATGCAGCTTTGTGGCTACATGTGTATTGTACAGCATTGAGTACATACAGGTGAGTGTGTGTGTACATGCATATATATTCAAGTCGTGGTTGCTGTTTCGCAGTCATTCCACGAAGAAATGAATAGTCCCGTCACATCATGGATCTATTTTTCTACCAACCCCCAAGCATCTCTTTTTGGTGGGCCACTTTAAACTGAAAGCAGCTGCAAAATGAGGGGAACGGTCAATAGGGAGACTTGGGACAGACCACTCTATTGCTTTTTCTATTTTATTGTCCTCTCTCTCCTCTCGCCTCAGTACATTGAGACTCACAATGTTCATTTTCCACAATATATCTTTGAAAGTGACAGGGAAAATGTCAGGGCTTCAGCAGAGTGCTTGTGACATCTGGTGATACAGTAAATCTAAAGGTCTATAGGTATATGGATGTATTAACAGCAGTGATTACTGTATTTCTCAGACTATCAAAGCATCAGTCCTTGGTTGTTTGTGGCACCTTGCAATGTTGGCCACACTGTACTACACTTTCTTGTTGCTAGGTAACAGAACTTTTTTTTTTTTATAAGCAAAAACTTTTCAATTAGATTCAAATATGAATGAAGTTATATTTATCCTCCCCTGTACAGTACTTTCATTTATGCTGTCTCTCTTTCTCTCTCTCTCTGTATTAGCCTGTTTTTGCCCATATGGTGCCAAAGCAACGGCATTGCGGCCATCAAGAAGCCAATTCACTCACTCAGCACAGAGACACTTCACTCCTCTTCACTCACTCAGCTTAATTATGGTTTACAGCACTTGAGATAGTTATTTTCTATAAATTGTTCCCACTCCTTTTGAGAACTGAGCATCTTATGCAGTGAGTCTTAATGTCCCTTGTCTCAACGATCTGAGGAATCCTAGCGAGTTATATTTTATGCTACGGCCCTAAAATCTGCTAGAAAGGCATGACTATACTTGGATAACTTTTAATGTCGTGCTATATCATACTTTTAATAAATAGTAAATGGGTCCATCTCAATACCCACATTTGAGGTATTTGTGAGTAGTGAAGTGCCCTGAAAAGGGCCTCTCATG